CTATCCAGCTACTCTAATCCTAGTTCTCCAAAGGTTCCTATCTAGGGCCATATCCTCAGTCAGGTCGAGAAGTCCTAATTCCTGTCTTATCACCTCCTTCCAATTCTTCTTAGGTCTACCTCTTCCCCTACTTCCCCCAATAACTGTAATCCTCTCGCATCTCCGTACAGGGGCGTCAGCATCCCGCCGTCTCACATGGCCAAGCCACCTCAACCTCGCTTCCCGCAACTTGTCTTCCACCGGTGCCATACCTACTTGACGTCGGATAACCTCATTCGAAATCCTATCCAACCTTGTCTTCCCGCACATCCATCGTAACATCCGCATCTCCGCCGCATGCAGACGACGCACATGAGTCTTCTTAACCGCCCAACACTCTGCCCCATATAACATAGCAGGTCTGACTACGGATCGATAGAACTTACCTTTCATTCTAGGCGAAATCTTCGGATCACACAACACCCCTGAAGCTAACCGCCATTTGGCCCAAGCCACTCCAACCCGATGTCCAACATCCACATCTAACTCCCCATCCGCCTGAATTACTGAGCCAAGATAACGAAACCTGTCTACCTTAGGTACTAGGTGAGAGTCAAAAAACTAGGAGGGAGTATATATATACATATATATATCTGTGTGTGTGTATAAATATAGATATTAATGATCAAAATGCAATATTGGAGACCGTGAAAAGTCAAATGGGAAGAATATTTCCAGATGGAGGGAGTATTATTATTATTATTTATTTTACTTATTTTTATTATTATTGAAGCCCTTTGTTTAAAGAGGCTATATTCGTCAAGCTCCCAATAAAGAGTTAAAGATGGTGTAAATATGATACGGATCTAGGGCTTCAGTAATTAGTTATCATTATTAGTTTCCTGTTGTCCCCTGTGGGAAATTCCACTTTTGAGTTTTTAGTCAACTGTATTAAATTTTGAAACCCTAATATATTTTGATGAGAAATGATTCATAGTATAAAGTGTTCTTTCCTTAAAACACTTCCATAAATATATAAATTTACAAATCTAACCAAAATATGTCAATTAAAAACATCAGTCAAAGTTGTCCATCGTTGATTAAAAAAGTCAAACAAGAAATTTTCTAGTTAGACTGAGGTATTATTATTATTATTAATTTACTACTGTAAAATTTGACCACAGTAGTAATTATTGACCACACTTTTAACCCTCTTGGCCTATTCTAAACAAATTTGACCACACTTTTCACTTTTCAACACTTTCTTTTCTCTGTGAAATGACTGAAATCAAACCATCAATTTAATTTTGGGGCAGATAGAGTATATTGTTGGTAAAAGACAGTCAAGATTGAAGTGTCCACATTTTTATGATTTGTACATGCATAAGTATATGATGGATATAATGTAGTAGAGAGAGTAAAGCTGAATAGATATAGTAATCCTAGTTGGCTGGGAGCTAGTTACATCTTTCACAACTTTCAATCTCATCCTTCAAATTTTCAACACCGTCCTTTTGATTCATAATTGTTGCTTGCCTTTTCACGTATAACACACTACTTTTTATGGCTTGATGAGAGTCTTCAAAAATCAACCTCTACTCTTTGAGTCTTTGTCACAGGTCTTGAAGCTTTTATAAAATGTAATGTTTTGAACATTTGAGTTTAAATACATACCTACTTTATGAAAAAGTGTACTCCTTATGTTTTAGGGATTATGAAATGTAGTATAAGAAACAAACAAAGAACTCATATACACTTGATATGGCCTAAACGGTGTGCCACACTTTATCTACACCTAATAAGGCATTATTAGGGATTTGAAGTGGTGCATCGCCTTATCTCCACCTAATAAGTTATGGTCTCGAGTCATGAGAATGTATAGATCTACTCTTGATCTTCTTAAGCACAAAACCTAGGCCCTCTGCCACAGTGCCACCTAGTAGACCGCATTTAAGTGTTGGATTTTCATTTTTATGTGCAGAAAAGGATCCATAAAGATGAAATCAATGTGTATTCAATGCTTACATAATACCTCACCTAATTCATGCAACTATTTGGGAAAAACCAGTACCAGCCTATCAAGGCAATCTTAGTGATCAAAAGCAACACAAAGAACTAGAAAGAAACAACTATGATGTAGAAACAATTAAAAAATTTAAGCTATGAACAGGAATTGATGAAGGGGAAAACAGTGCATTCCACATTCATAACCACTTAACAAGTAATAATGTAACAAAACGAGAAAATGAACCTTTAATCGTGTGAACTCTTCATGAATTGCTGGGTCTAACAATAACTTCCTTGCCTGTGAAATATAAAAAGGAGATAGTTAAATACGGAAATAGTGCAGGCAATGTAGAAGAGAAGAAAACAAGCTAGAAATGGAATTGGGGTACATAGAAAAATGTCCTTAGCAGTAAAATACATCAGCAAGGATTAAACTAGATAGGGTAGTACAAAAACATTGTTAGCAATGATTGAACACATAGTATTGAACCAATAAATTCAAAAAAATGACAACATCACACTTGAGTTGAATGTTGCCATTGAAGGAGCTCATGGCTAGTTATCCAGATATAGAAAAATACTTTAATTTTCACATCAAGAAGAAATTTGAAAGGAAAAATCATGCCAATACTCCTAGAAATTTGAGATTCTACAAGAATACTCCAGCATTGCATAGTTATCACCAGCGCTCTTGGAAACTCAATATTTATACAATACCAATACCCCAAGATTTTATATTGATCATAGATACACCTCAAAATTCAAGGGTTCCATATAAACTAAAAATTCTCTTGAAGCATTATTGTAAAAATATTGAATTTCTTGGAGCATCTGTGATAATTACATAACTTTCAAGTGTTCTTGTAAAATCTCACATTTCTATAAGTATTGGCATGAATTTTTCCAATTTGAAATGGCAAACTTCAAAGTCAAACTATAAATCTTGATAAAGTCGTGAAGATTAGACATAGCAAAGTGATATTAACTAGCCATCTTTCTGGTCAGGTTTGCTTCTAGCCATCTTTCTGGTTAGGTTACTTCTTACTCATATTCACAAAGTGACAAGGGCAGGAAAAAAAAACATGAACCCGTCCTACTATTGACTGATTTCTTAAAATAGGTTTCGGGGTGAGTAAATGTACTGCAGATTTCTTTTTATGTTTGAAACATTATGTTTTACATCTCATGTCTAGATAGAATTAAGAGATCCATAAAAGGGCATAACAGATCCTACACAATAAGAATGGGTGTATGTGGAAGGGGTTATCTAGGCCTCCTTTCCCTTGCTTTTGCAAGGATATAGATTCAAACCCTGGACCTCCATTGCACAAGAGAGAAAGATTCCAGCAGTTGCACCAAACCCACCTTTTATTCAAGTGATCTATGCAAAAAGTAAAACAAAAAGATCACCCCGCTTGGCTAGAGAGGCATGCATGTAACACAAGCTTGACCAAAATCAAGAAATGCTACATTAAGATTAAAAACAATGTTGCCAACAAATTTTGGTGAACTGTACATATATTTGATGTGACAAAAATGAGCAGTTGATGAATTATTGAAGGTTCTACCTTCCCATCTATGTTTTATATCACACTTAGAGCATATTTTATTTTTTTCTTTGGGCCCACTAGCTCACTAACCAGCCGTGATTATGTGGGGGGAGTTTACACTTAACTCCCCATGAAGACATGAGATGCTCCACGGCTCTCATCCTAGGAACCTCCCCGTGAATTACCCAGGAAGGCATCAACCACATTCTTCTTCATTATTAACAAAGTCATCTTCCTCAACGAATACATCATCCCCATCATCAACACCATACTTTGTAAAACTTCCATCCCTATTAGAAATCTTAGTTGAGGTGAGGATTGGTGATTGGTTGATGGTAATTAAGTTAGTGTTGGGGGAATGCACTATCAATGTCGTGAGTGCCTACGCACCCTGGGCTACCTTGAACACCAAAATTAAGGAGCTTTGGGAGGCATTGGATGGAGTGAGAGGGGGTATCCCGCAGGCAGAGAAAATCATCAATGGAGGCAATTTTAAAGGACATATCTGGGTGCTGCACAGGGTTTTGAGGGCGTGCATAGAGGGTCTGGCTTTGGAATATTCTAGAGCAAGTGATTGATGATCGCTAACTATTTCTTCTGAAAGCGGGAAGACCACTTCGTTACCTTCTACAGTCGCGTGGGGAAGTCGTAGATTAATTAGTTCCTCTGGCAAAGTTGTGGCAGGGCGCTCTTTAAGGACGCTAAAATAATCCCAAATGATAATCCTCCAACCCCACATAAGCTACTCGTGATGGATATCGCGATCAGGTGGGTGAGGAAAAGGTAGACTTCAGGTGGTCCATCTCATATCCATTGGGGAGCTTGAATGGGGAGAAGATCCCAAAGTTTGTTGCTCAAGTGCAAGAGAAAGGTGGGAGGCCGACATCATGTGATCTAAGGCCGCAAAGGCGCAAAATACATCAGGGAAAAGCTGCTTGGGAGATTTTAGGGATAGCTAGAGGTAAGGGGAGATGTCATACAAGGGACTGGTGGTGGAGTGAGAATTACAGGGGTACAGTTTGCTTACATACATGTTATCAAAGACATGCATGCCGGGTGAGGAGCAGGACGAAGATCTGCCCTTAATCCTTTCTTGCTTGTATTGGTGATGAATGTTCTGATGCAGCATAACGTGGAGATACCTTTGTGCATGCTATTTGTTGACGATATTCTACTGGTTGACAAGACACGGGAGGGTCTCAATGATAAGTTGGAAGTGTGGCGTCATTCCTTCAAATTAAAATGTTTCAGATTTAGTAGGACTAAGATTTGGTGTGTGGAATGTTTGCTTTAGTGGTGAGTGGTCATAACTTTATGTCAAAAGTGATATAAGGATTGATGCACACCGAGCACCTAAAAGAGACAAATCTGGATACCTTGATTCAGTCATGCATGCAAATGGGGAGACAGATGGGGATATTGATCATTGTATTGGCGCCGTTTGAGCAAAGTATAAGCTAGCTTCAAGTATCCTTTTTAATAAGAAGATATCGAGAAACATGAAAGGGAAGTTTTACAGGACAGTGGTGAGACCACATAATATGAAGCAGAGTACTGAGTGGTGGAGAAAGCACATGTTTGTTAGCTTTAGGTGGAAGAAATGAGGATGTTAAGGTGGATGTGTGGTCATACAAAGATGGATAAGATCCGAAACGAGGTTATTCGGGGAAGGGTTGGAGTGGGTACCTGTGGAGGATAAGCTGTGTGAAGCTAGGTTGAGTAGTTTGGGCGCTTTTAAGGAAAAGTTCAGAGGCCTGCGGTAATGAGAAGACATGAGAGGCTTGCGGTAGTGGGCGTAAGAAGGGTAGAGGTAGACCTAGGAGAGCTGGAAGGAGGTGATTACACATGATTTACGATTTCAGGATCTTACTGAGGATATAGCCTTAGTAAGGAACGTCTGAAAATCTAGGATTAGATTGCTTGAGTTGACCTTTGGGCCTTAAATTGTTGTTTTTGTTGGAGCGTTTCAACTCTAGTCTATAGCTTGCACATGTGTGCTTTCTATGTTGTAGAACTAGGAAGAGTTAGGGCAGATGATTATGCAAGACTTAAACCTACTTGATTTCCCCGAGGATATGGCCTTTAGATAAGAATGCCTAGTGATCTAGGATTATGGTAGTTGGGTAGATGCAGTAGCCTTAGTTCGTACTTTTGGCCAATTTGTCTTTATATGTTAGTCTCCAGCTTCCACATGCATGTTTTGGATTTAGTCAGCTGAGTCGGCATATGTGTTTCTTTTCGTATGTGTTCCTCCCCTCTTCTTTCTTTGTTCGGGTACTTTTTTGGGTCGCGAGTCTCTTACAAACAACCTCCCTACTTTCATGTAGGGGTAAGATCTGCATACACTTACCACCCCCCCCAAAACCATACTTCTTGAAGGATTCTACTGGGTTGTTATTTTGAATAAACCCAATGGAATTCAAAAGACAATCAAAATCAACAAGCTACCAGTCTGTAACCTCCAAAAATTGGTTAAAAGAGTTTAATTCATTATATCTTTGATTACATGGATTAATTTGAAGATTTTTGAAGTTCTAGGCCTTGTTGCACTATCTTAACAACTTCAAGGGCATATTTGGCCCTAAATCCTTTATATTGTATCAATAAAAGTGTACATTATCATCCAAACATAGTTGTGAAAAGCGCACATGAGGCGCGAAACGCCAAGGTCAGTGCATCCACAGACTTGATACGCGCGATGTTCCTGAGGCGCGCGCATTATTGCGCCTCGTCGCATTATGCGATGTTAAGCGATGCGCAGTCGCGCATTGTGAACACCTGAGACATTATTTTAATTTTTAGTTATTTCTAAGATTAGGTTAAGAGATTAGTGATATTCTTTTATTCTGCCTCGCCCTTTACGCTTCCACTTATTTTATGAGGCTCAAGAAAAGAAATGAAGATCGAGCGACATACAGCAATAGACTCTCTTTTCCTACTTTGACGATCTCCCTTCTCTTTCTGCCCTGTGCTTCGGCCCTCTTCCTCACCATGGATAATGCTACTGCTTGAGGTTTAGCGAGCACAGTTGCCATAGTTGCTACAGTGGCTAGGCGATGCTGGGCGCTAGAGTACCTTCCAATCGCCTAGGTGATTAGGCGCCCGCCTAGGCATCCCCTGGGCGAGCAAGCTATGGCGACCTTAATATTTTTATAGGTGCTTATGCAAAAGCATATAGTATGAAATATTAATCAAAGAGTACATTAATACCAACATTATGCAACAGAGAATTTCAGAAACAACACAGCCCCGTTGCAATTAAATGAGAGAAATTTAACATGATAAGTACCGAACCCTAGTCTCTGTGAATTGATGTTGACCGAGCCTTTTCTGCGATGAGCAAGATGCGTCGATGAAGAAAGATAAAGAAAAGGTATCGGGAGTGGAAAACAAGAATAGATAACGTATGTTACTAGTATAACATATGAGATAAAGCAAAGGAAAGTATTTTCGTATCAATATTTGAATAGTATACTAGTATATATACATTACTTGGCATATACTTCGTAGAAAACAAGAATAGATAACAATGTTACTTTAAAATAATACAGTAGATTTCCTTAAAAAACTCCATAGAACACATATTCTGTATGTTTTAATTACCAAAAAAACAAAGCACTTTACGGAGAAGAGTCGCCTAGTCTTAGTCTATTGCTGGCCAAAACTTTACGCATCGCGCCTTAAATAATTATGCATCCAAACGTTTGCTTTTGAATAGAGATTAACCAATGGAAATGAGATTTCAAAGAACAAGCTTGATTACTGCATGGTTACTACTACACAAGAAATAAGAATTAACAAAATAACATTCAAGATGTATAGTTTGCACACCTGCATGGATGGTGGTTTAAGTTGAGCCCTGAGGTCACGAAGGGAAGACTACGACAACCACAAAAGAAAAAAGAAGATAAGAGAAACTGGTTAGAGTACAAAGAAGATTATAAAGAGTCAAACCACAAAAAAAGTTGCTCAAACAGTCAAAGCCTGAAGTTATTGATATGAGATGGAAAAAGAAACCAGAAATCAAATATTTCAATTATTCCCCGTCCCACTAAGTTTAAGACAAGGGAAAAGACACACAAATTAAGAAAAAGTGGGGTCGTGTGGACATGGTTGATATTCAAGATCTACAACTCTACATTATGGAATATTTTGAACCAAGCAATTATATGAAAATATGGCATGGGACAAACATTTTGGGACTGACCAAAATGGAAATTTTAGAAACATGGCAGAGGATGCACGGAGTATTTCATATCCAAGTGCATCCCGAAAAGTGATTGTGTCTCAAATATTAGTTCCATTGTTCAATTAACACTTCCAATAAGTGGCCTGTGAGCAAGTCACAACAGAAATATGCAAATTGGTATATGAAAAATGCTTGGGGTACACCAAAAGTGTACCCCAAGTGTACCCCAAGCATTCTCATACCACACACTTTTTAGTGCATAAAAAAAGAAATAAATGAATAAAAATGTGTGGTATCCCTAGCACGGTGTACATTGGGGGCACCAAATGGTATTCTCTAAATATGAACACAGAATTTCTTTTCCAACAGAATTTCCTAATCATGAAGGGACACAACTTCCTAAATATGAAATAAAGATTTCTCTCGCACATTGCACCCTTGGTGTAAGGTTTGCATACACACACCCTCCCCAAACCCTAGTTTTTGTGGGATTATACTGGATTTGTTGTTGATAATGGCCGTTTGATTTTCCTATGTGGAACTATATAATATCCTTCCATTTAACATATTAGCTTATAGAAACAAAAAAGAATGTTACTGAAAAAAATACTCCATTCATTATGCGTCTAGTCTCATCGTGGCACATGCAACAATTTCTGAATCATGTCATTTAAAATTTAAAGTTTTGACATATTCAACTTACATTTAGTAAATATTTCATGGAATATATAGATTTAGAAACTACACAAAATTATAAATAATATTAATGAAATCAAATGAATAAAACATAAATCAAATAAAATGTTAGTTTGACAAATAAATATTAAGCTGGTTATTGGGCTGATAAAACGGAACACGGTGAGTGATACAACAGACCCAAGAAAATCTCACAAAGTGGAGTCTGTGGAGGGTATGGGTACAGACCTTACCCCAACTTGAAGAGTAGAGAGGTTGTTTCCAAGAGACCACAAGCTCAAAACACGGGGACAGAGGAGTAATAAAGAAAGAAAATTGTCTAAGACAAGTTTAGTTGAGGGTTTAATGATTAGGAGTGGATTACATCTGCACTGCTCACTTCTTATAATTGGTTTTGACTGACCACCAATTCAATTCATATGAAAGACTTCCACTACGCAGCTACGCCTTCGTTCAATGACAAGTAAAATGGTGGGCTGGAAATGGATTAGGAAGCACTTGCCTTGGGTTTTAATGATCTAAATAGGAATCATCTCTAGTGTTAGCTTTTAAGGTAGTTAGGTAGGAAATTAATTTGTAGTGTAGAAAATCAAATGACATGCATTTTTTATCCATACGGCAAGTCATGTGTGCTTAATAAAGTATCCAACATCAGTGCAGTCGATACCATCGTGATTTTGATATCCAATGTTGAGTTAGTGTATGAGTGTATCAAAACTTGTAACAATAAAGATTATTCCTTACCTTCAACTCTGATATCTCTTGATCTCGCTTTGCAATATTGACTATAAAAGCAGCTTCTTTTTTCTTGGCTTTCTCCAGCTGATGAAGCAATTATATTTAGATAAAAGAGAATTTGTAGGTCATAATACTATAATAGAGAGTACTATGTGTTAATTATTTAAAATAGTATAAGAACACAAAACACCTGTTCCTGTAATAACTCTTCAGATGACCTTAGGTTATGCACATAGTTGACCACAATTCTAGGTTCTACAAGGAAAAAGATCAAATGAAAAATGTATCATTTTAAGGAAACCAAATAAACACAGGAGCCTTCTATATTGTAGACCAGATGGAGTTACTCAATCAAACATGAAATATACACCCATTCATGAGACCTAAAAAATCAAGCAAAGAAACATGTCCACATATGAATAAGACACAATGGAAATATTGTCCTTGCACAAACCAGGGGTGGACCCAGAAGCTATGAAAGGTTCCCTCAGAAAGGAAGAATGCCACTTTTGTAATTCAGACTTTGCAGCTTCAAGTTCCGACTACAACACGTCAGAAAAAAATAACAGTGAATTTACGATTTGATAACCATTATTAATCCGTAAAAGTTTGAATTTTGTTAATACTTTACTGGTAAGTAACAGCATGAATCTAGTAGTTTTGCTGATGCAAGGCAAGAGCGTAGAGTCATGCTTAAATAATTAATGTGGAGTGGCGGGGTTCATAGACTCCCAATGAAATTTTTATATTTATTATTTGATGTATGTCAACACATACATACATACATACATACATACATACATAAATAAATAAATAAATAAATAAATAAATAAATAAATAACTACCTATTTACCCATAGAGAGAAAATCAGAAATCTGAATTCTACTTTTATCATTTGGGGATTTTCCTTGGCTATTAGAATTTTAACGTGAGATGCTTGCTTGAGAGAGTTTAGTTGAGTGCTCAAAAAAAGGTAACGATGAATTAAAGATTAGATTTCCATTATTAATCCGTAAAAGATTGAATCTAGTGAATCCTTTACTGGTTAATAACAGTATGAATCTAGTAGTTTAGCTGATGCAAGGCAAGAGCGTAGAACAATGTTTGAATAATTAAAGTGGAGTGGTGGGATTCATTGACTCCCAATGGAATTTGTATGTTTATTATTTGATGTATGTAGTATGCATACATAAATTAAAAAAATAAAACATAAATAACTACCTATTTACCCATGGAGAGAAAATCAGAATTATACTTTTATAATTTGGGGATTCTCCTTGGCTATTAGATTTTTTTAAGTGAGATGCTTGCTTGAGAGAGTTGAGTAGAGTGCTCTTTATTTTCTGTTTTTCATATTCAGTATCTACTCCAGGTATCAATTTGGCATGAGACATAGTTATCAGTTATCACGGGATTCACGGCACCAAGGCAAGGTGTGGCGCTAGTGAACTGCCAGGAGGCCTAGCCGACAAGGCGACTAGTCATAAATTATTAAAAGAGTAACACTAATACAATTATTAATACTCCCTCCATCCCTAATTTTTAAATTTGTGTTTTTCCCTAAGTGTGTTACCTTGTTCCCTAAAAAAAGTGGTTTACCTTGTGATAATTGATAAATGAGAGTTTTTTATGATTACTCTCTCAATGATTACTGAGATTGAAGTTTATGAATTACAAAATATTATATAATATATTGATATTAATGTTACTATATTTATCATTTGTGATCTTGGCCGGCCACTAGCGCTGTGCCCTACCTAGGCCGCCACGCCTTGCCTAGGCGTCCTGGCGGTTCGCTAATCGCTAGAGCCTCGTCTTGGCTCCATGATAACCTTTATTTGGGACATTTGGGTATGGTGCCGATGGACCAGAGCACCTTCTTTCGTTTAGGCAAGGCGAGTGACCCACGAGATGCTTCCACTGCCGGGATGTCTAGGCCACATCTTGATAACAGAGACTATATGAAATCTTTTGAGAGACACTTGAAGGTTAGACTGGAACCATTCATGATAAATATTAGTATGTCAACATATCTCCAACCTATGTTAGAATGGTATAGAGCAAAGTAGTGACCACCCAACTATCTAAATTATAAAAATAATAAAAGTTCACATATTAAGAAACCACAGTTTAGAAATGGATTGCATAAGTAATTTCAACATAAATGGTAATAGTGCACACGTCACACCTGACAAGTTGCAAGTGTTTCTTCACAGTTCTTGAGACTGCAAAATTTAAGACACATTTTTCAAAGAGAATTTAAGACACATATAATTACAAATATTAGTGGCATGAACTCAAAAGATACTAATCGCATATACATACACATCATAATAAGTAATACCTCTCGCGAAGGGACAATATTGTCCCGGTTGCAGCACCTGGAGCAGTTTCTTCCGATCTTATGTTACCCTGCATTTTAGGGAAAATAAATTGTTATTGTAAACTACATCAAGTTAAAATTGAAAGGCTAATTATTGCAAACAATACGAGCATTTGCAAATACAGAAACTACTATCCACTTTAGCAATGCACTATCATGATAATACTTCCCAAATTCACTGTGGTGGAAGCTCCAGTTTTAATTAGAACTCCTAATACTTCTAGGGTTCCTACAACTGACAATGGGCAAACATTATCAGTAATATAACGCCATAAAAGTGAAGTATAGAGCTCAGTCCGAATCACATGCTTTAAACTGGGTTAAAACACCCTTGTCACCAGCTTGGCTCAACATGTGTTTACAGGCCAAGGTCCTACTGACATTGTACTTTATCCAGCACCCTTCACTTGAATGTAAACTGTCCATATACATCAAACATTTATATGGAATTTAGCTATTCTGATAAGTAGCTTACTTGTCATTTTCACATTATATTTCCTATTGCTATAATGTTTATCACGCTTCAAATATGAAGATCTACTCCATATAAGATTATAGATGGGTCTAAAGATCTAAACCATCTTATTGATTGTCTGAAATTCTCAATAGGCTTCACAATGAAGTCAAAAACAAGTCAACAAAAAACCTAGTATAATCTCAATGCCCGTTGGGGTGTAGGGGGTCAAGATGTTTGCAGACTCACCCATGTAAAAACAGAGAGGCTGTTTTTGTTCGACATGATGCACTGATGAAATTACTGCCCAAATTTCATAGGATGTAGGAAACAAGAAAGGTTTAATGTATGCTTTCATTGAGTCTATTATTCACCTAAAGCTATATCATTGTCAAAACCAACTCTTTTAGCCTGATCGACAATGCCCTCAGTCCACAAGACAATGTTTTAGCTTCAAGTAAATTAAGGATCAAATCAAAATGACACATTAAACTTCCTTTGCTTCTTACACTCAACGATGTTTTAGGTAGTTAATGGAGCAATGAACTAAAGATCTAACACATTACATCTCCCCCCTCCCCCCACAAAAAAATACCCCAACGGTGATGGATTAGAGCATCTTTAGTGGTAAGGGAATGTTTGAGAAATGGTAATGTGGAATAGGGAAAAATGGGGAGAATGATTACAGTGGGGAGGGGAAAAGAAGGAGAGGGGGGAACTCACTTTCCCCGAGGAAAAAAGAAAGAAAAAAAGAGAAGAAAAGAGAAACAAAGAAATTTAAAAGAGAAACAAAGAGAAAGAGAGAAAAAATGAAGAATGATTTTTTTACAACTGTAGAATTTTTTTAAAATCACTTATTTTGTTTATTCAAATTTTGTGGCATATATGCTTTTATTAAAATTTTAAAATATACTTTTTAGAATTTAATTTAATTTTTTAAAAACAAATCATTTTAAAATAAATTTATGACATGTGAGGCCCATGATTAAAAAAGAGAAAGGAAATTGTGAGGAACTACCAAAGTGGTAGTGTGGGGAAATTTAGGAGGTTATGTGGCATTAAAAATAGGAGAGAAAGTCAGAAAAGGGGGAAAGTATGAGAATGACTAAAGATGCTCTAATTGGGTTGTTGTTGTGATCCCACTTGAGGGATAATTTTGGACAGTGAACTACTATTTACTTATTTTGTAGAAAATCCGTGCAAATACAGAAAAAGAACTTGCAGTTCAGGGTCTATTCTTTTGGGTTCTAACTCTTAACTTCCAATTCTTTGCAACTTCTACTAGTTTCTTCCAATTCCTTCCACTTTCTCCAACTCCTCGGGCATATTCGACCTCCTTCCCTTTCTTTTTAACTCCTTCCTGGTTCTTTCAACTCTTTTCAGTTTCCTCCAACAGTTACTTAAAATAATTACTCCTTCCGTCCCCAAATAAAATTTTCACTTTCTTTTTTTACTCATCCCAAAATAAACTTCTCACATCTTTTCTTTCCATAAAAGGAAACGAATAAGTGGCTAATAATGTTTCTCTCTTCTCTACACAGATTTTATCCACACACATATCACTTTTAACAACCTTTTTAAACTCCGTGAAATCAAATTAAGGCCATGTTCTCTTAACCTTCTCTGAATGGTTCTTTCTGATCTAAGATCTAATCTGAAGTGAACTTATTCCAATAAGAAAAAGTAATAAATAATAAGAATAATTTGAAGAGAACATGGCCTAAGACTTTTATTTAAGAATGGAGGAAGTATTTCGGTGTATTTTCATATTAGTCTTATTACAATTACTATTATTATCAATGTCAATGAAATGAAAACAAAATTATAATAATGTCACAATTTATACAAAAACTATTTCCTTTGTCCCCAAAACAAATTCTGATTACTATTATAAGTCAACATAAAATATTAAAATGTTAAATTAATTAATTTATTATATATTTCCCTTTGTAATTTTGCAATATTCAATGATTATGTTTCTTTGAAACGACACTAACTTGTATCAAATTTTAGTTTCTAAATTACTTTATTAAATTTTGACAACTCAATTAATTTATTTTTTATAATATAATCAATTTGCAATTACACTACAAAAAAAATTAACAATGTACAGTACGTTTTCATTGATAGAACTTTTCAAATTATGCTACAGGTTTTTTAAAATTATCGAACCATCACGGAATGTGCCGTGATTTAAATTTTAAACTTCCCTTTGTACCTAATTTAGTTACTCTCCTCCAATTTATTAAATTTCACTAAATAATTGTACGCTATTTTTTCTTTCCCTCAAAATGATTAAGAAAATAGTACTGTACATCCAAATGTACTCATTAATAACTGTTAGAATATAAATAACTGTTCCTGAGCCACAACCACAAGCTTGAGCTTTTGGTTGAGTTGGTTCCTTCTCATGGTATCGGAGCCTCGTTGACTAAGAGGTCACGGGTTCGAAACTCAGCGCCACCCAGTTTAAAAAAATTTAGGTTTCACGTGCAAGGCTCGAAAAAGACTACGCCTGCACGTGAGGGTGCGTGTTAGAATATAAATAACTGTTCCTGAGCCACAACCACAAGCTTGAGCTTTTGGTTGAGTTGGTTCCTTGTCAGTAACAATAAATGTTACCTTTGTGTCAAATAAATCTTATACGTTTGACTTTCACTAAGTTTAAAAAAAGTGTTGAAAAATTAAAAAAAAAACTATATTCTTTTGGGGATGAACAAAAAGAGAAAAAGGGTGAAGATTCTTGCGAAACAGAGGAAGTACGAGCATAAAAACTACAAAGTAATTAGAAAGTGAATTGTGGGTGGGCAAAGAAGAATTCCTTTTTTATCTGAACTTGATTTTCTTGCACATTTACTTGGGTGACTTTTTCTTTTTTATAAGGTAGTGGTTTAATTTTTACTTTTAAAAAAGAATAATATACTTTTTCCCATTGGTCACTTTTGTGAGACACAACACACCTTGTAATTGTTTTAGTGTATAAAGTGTGGTGTGGGATCATTTTTGTTTTCGAGATAATGTTGGATTATTTATATCAAATTTTCCTTTCAATTGAGATTAATATACAATATTGCTCTCTGTATCCACTATTTTTGGAACATGAGTTAGTAGGCACGTCAAGAAACAAAAATTGTATTATTGATATTGTTGTCAAAAAATGTAATATAAATTAATAATGAGAATGAGTCACAAAAATAATACTCATCTGCCCCAAAAAAAAACCTAATTCGGTTCAGCACAAAATCTAAGAAAAGTAAAACTGTGTGGTTGAAAGTGAAGCAAAAGTGTGACAAAGATTGTGAGTCACAAAAAAATCCAAAAATGGAAAGGGAAGCCTTTGTTGGGATATCCCGAAAACAAAATGAGAAGTCTTTTTTTGGGATCGGAGATTGTAATAAATATGGTTTAAAAAATAGTGTGACATAAAAAAATATAAAAAAAGACAAATAATGAAACAACATCAACCAAGTAGAATCCCCCGAGAGTAGGGTATGGGGTGGGTATGTACGTAGACCTTACGACTACTCGAAAGAAGAGAGGCTATCTCCAAAAGAGACCCTCACCTCGAGAAAACACATAACGCACAGAAAGCAAAGAGCACGACAAAATAAGCACCTAGCAATAAAAGAGAAAGGAAAGAAACACGCAATAGAAAAAATACAAAGAAGCATGCAATAACAAGTGGAGAAAACTATCACCATGTCCAAAAGCCTACCCAACTATAGTAGTCCAATCATATCCTCGGTAAAGCCAAAAAATTCAGGTCATGCCTAATCACATCCTTTCAATTGAAATAAATGGAGTAGAACAACAACTAACCCAGTTAAATCCACAAGAGTAGGGTTTGGGGAGGGTGTGTGTACGCAAACTAAACCCCTACTAGAAAGTTGCATTGATGCTACTTCATTAATGAAAGAAGCGCAGAGAGTTTAGAGATCCATTTTGCTATATTCCATCACACCCCAAAGCCATAAAAACATGAAATTTCAAAAATATAATATTCATTTCAACACCTTTCATTTTTTTCAAGATTTTCCAACTTCTTTCTATTTCTTTCAACTCTTTCTAATTTCTTTCAACTCCTTCCTATTTCTTCCAAGTTCCAACTTCTTCTAGTTTCTTCCAACTTTTTCCAATTTCTTTTAACATCTTCCAGTTTCTTCCAACATTGCAACATTTAACTACTATTCTGCACAACCATTTTTGAAACGATGGTCACAAACTCCTAGCTATAGAGAAAAAGTGATGTAGTGACTTGATCCTTTTTCAAAAGGCATTCAATTCTTCTTTTCCTTCACTTGAGGCATCAAGTTATATTTCATAGTACCCTTTTGCACCCTCTTTCTCATCATATGATTAATGATACATATTTTACTCTGGATTTACTCAACTCAGGTCTATTGATTACTCAAATTGTTAAAGGCCTTCAAATTTGGCGAATGTAGGGATTGAACAAATGAATGCAATCAGGCTAAATCAACTCAAATCCTTAGAATACATGGGTCGCAGGACAATATCCTCTATTTTTCTAAAGTTCGCTTCGTTGATGATTCCCAACTTTTGCTTATCGCTTCACTCAAGTGGAAGGCTTCATTGGTAACAGAGTATTTTTTAACTGCTATCTCCGGGCATCTTATCTTTGTTATCTTTGTTAGTTCATTTTTTTCTGCAAATCATTAATCCAATGATTCCCATCTTCTCGCTAATTAGTTTTCTCAAATGACGGCTTTTCTGGTTAAAGAAAATCTTTCTTTTTGAAAATGACAAAGCCGTGATTTCTATATCATTTAAATGCAAGACAAATAGAAAAAATAAGCAGTGTAGCTAGACTGCCGGAGATGAATTTAGGGAATATAACAGCAGTTTGATGTGTAAATGGCCCAAAGTCATTGAGGGACTTGATATTCCAATTATGACATGCTCAAAAAATGAACCAGGCAGATCTATATATCCTTTGATTCCGATTATGATGTCTAAACTGGCAAATCAAACATTTCCCTGGTTCAAGCTACTTTAAATTGATATGCTAGGAGGCAGGTTCAAGCCAGTTTACCAACAATCAAGAATGGATATACATCATTAACAGTTAACACACTACACAACTGATACAAAGAGGCAGGTACCTCCCCAACTTCCCTGGCTTAGAAAAATGTGATGCATGACAGAGAGCCCTAAGGACTCATCCAAAGAGATTGATAAACTCAAGCATACGTATTTTATTAGAGAAGAGCTTGACTAATCAGTTGGAGATTATTAGATAGTCATTTAGCTTATAAGTTACGGACAGTTATCATTAACTATAAAATTTGATTAGTCTAGAACTTAGTTCTTATATTTAAGATAAACTTGTCTTGATTTTTGATCATTCTCTTCACGTAACTGGGTATCTATTACAATTAAATATGGGAATAATTTAGGCAAAATAGCTATGGGAGTCTTGGGACCCCAAACATGTCCAAACCAAGTTTGGGATCTCAAAACCTCAGCACAAACTCATATTTATTTTTATAGAGTTTTAGCCTTAAAATTATAGTGTAGCATGGACTCATGGAGCATACAACGATTCCAATTAAGGTTCTTGGCAATGGAACCAGAACTAGACAATGTCAACCCCTATTATCCACAATGACAATAGTTTATAACAGTTGGGTAGTTGCAAAGGTGGTAGCCATAGTAGCCATCTGTTATTAATGTTAACTTTAGAAAAAATTTAAAAACAAGTTTCTTAGTTTTTTCGTTTGCAAATTCAAGAACGATTTCCGAATTCTAAAGATGAAGAGAGGTGAAGATAAAATGTTTTATGTGTTCTCAAATTGGATAATTCCTAAAGTAACACTTTTTTTGTTTTTGTTTTCTAGAGCTTCCTACTTAAATTCAAGGGAAACTATGATAAAATTGTTGTCCTCAAAACTGTGATGCTTCACTAATGTTTTCCAGCCATAATCTACATACAATGCAGAATAAAAGGATTTAATGGCACAAAATAAAGCAAAAGTACGTACGTAGTAATATCTTCTACTACTAAAAAGGGCAAACGCATAGAATCAGAGAATAAAAACCTTCTTGGAGCCAAAAATATCCTCTTTTTCATCATCGAGCTCTCCAAAGCTTCTCTTAGACCCTGTCATCAGACTGTTCTCACTTCCGTATACACTTCAATTACTATGCATAAAACAAGCGAGGAAGGGAAGTTAAACAAAAACCTGGACGCCGTGTTCCGGAGAAATCGCCGCCAAAGTCATCCTCCTGCGAGTTTAACAAGACTTAACCGAAGAACATGCAAAATGAAAAAAATGGAAGATTTTCAAGAACAGAGGGACTCACATCATCGAGATGATTAGGCGACGTCATTGGATAGATTTGAACACACAGGTGAAATTGATCTCCGAGCTTACGCGATTGTATGGACAGCAGTCTATTGAAGAAGAAGCCAATTTTTTTAGGAAAATTTGACACCATTATTCCCAGAATTACACAAATATATAAATACTCCGAGATTCAATTAATTCAATTAATGACGTCAATACTACCAAAATTTTCATATGTTCACATCGCTGCTCTAAGAATTCATTTATGTTTATAGCTATGCTCCAAATGTTGGACCACCAATGTAAACATATTTCAATGTTGGAGTATTGATGTAAACATACGAAAATTCTGGGAGCATGGATGTCATTTATTAAATCTCGGAGTATTTATGTAAGATTGTTTAATTTTGGGAGTAATGATGTGAATTTTTCCATTTTATAATTCACTTATTTTTGTGTCCTTCTCAGTAATTAAGTAATTATCAATTAATTCATTCTGATAGGACTATTTTCGGGGCGTTACAGTTATGGTTGATCTACTTGAACCTACGCGAATTATGCCTTGTTTTTGTCGCATACGGTTTGAAAAGCATGAATTAGTTTAGAATTGTTAAAGGGGATGTTAATTAATGTTTGGGTATTGATTTAGAACCTGTTAATGCTTGAAATTTATGTATACAATGTTGTTTTGGTTGGACAAACTGGAACTGATGCAAGCCTGGTTTCTGCCGCGACAAACGGTAGCCAAGTACCGTCGACATGGTACCCGCCTACCGTCACCCACTCTGTTTTCCTTTGCTCTGGCGGTACATGTCACCAAATGGTACCTCGCTACCGGGTGGACGATAGGCCCTACCGTCGGGTCGGTAGAGGTTACCGTGACAGGCCTAATGGTTGATTATCACAGCTTACACAGACGGTACCCACGTACCGTGGGACGGGACCCTGGTACCGTGGGGTCTGTACCCCCTACCGCTAAGGGTACCGTGAGGTACCTGAACAGGTCTGAGTTCTCTGTTTACGTCGAGGATTTATTCCAAGACATTATGTGTTGCATGACAGTAAACATGGGTCTCAATACCCAGTGTTAGGCCGCTGTTTGAGTACGTTGGATGTGATGAATGATGTTTGTATGATGTATGAATATGTATACCATGATTTGTTAAGGAATAAAGGTACACTTTTTTGTCCAACTTTCTCCAAATTGAAATCCGATTGAACCGTTGGGGTCAGACAGTCAAACTCTACACAACAATATAATTTTCATTAATTATTGACAAACTTTATAATTCACTTATTTTTTTGGGGTCCGTCTTAGTAATTAATTAATTATCAATTAATTAATTCTGATAGGCCTATTTTCGGGGCGTTACACGTTTGCACCGTCAAAACCTTTCCACGACTCAGACTCCGTGTAACTGTATCCCTTTGTCTCAATGTCTAGACTTAATGCAAGGGATTAATAAAATCCAGCTTGTATCCATTAAGTCATTCACTGATTTATCAAGTTTGACTAATAGGAACAGACGTCATAAAAACATCTCAGCATGGCCATGCAATTTCCTCAATCATAACTTATCAGTGGGCCCCATAAGACATTAATCTCTTTTAAAAAGAGTACTGACAAATCCTATGTACGTAATCTACGTTTCTAAATACGCGCTGCGGCATACCCAAAACAAAGCCTGTATACCATCCTTATTTCATATGGCTTAGGACAATGCATCAAAGTATGCGGGTTCACATATGCAGAAAACATAATACTTCAAGCCGAAGGATAGTTACACCCGTGGTCGCGCTAAAGATGCTTAGAGCATGAACTAAAGTTCAAGCAACATCTTTAGGATGGCATCCTGTTATCTCCAGATAATATCTGTCCATTTGCGGATGCGAACACACTGTCATTGACTATGAGACTAAGTCAAACATCCAACACACACTAGTCTCACATGCATTAACGATATCCTACTCTCGTTAATACTCGACTATGGACATTTAGATAAATATTTATTTCAAGATGATAGTCTCATCAGCAGAAAAACACTATCTGATAAATATCTTTAAATATAAATCTAGGAATATAATATTTGTTTACCTTAGCATGAGATGTGTAAACATATTATATCTGTCTATACATGATAGGATAACAATGAACAGTTGGCCATCAGGGCACAACTCCAACAATCTCCCACTTACAGTATGGCCAATCTGGCATCGGTCGAATGCCCATGGACCTAGTGTGACCCTCATGCTTTAGCTTTCCTAAAGGCTTGGTCAAGGGATCAGCTATGTTGTCGTCAGCATCTACTTTGCAAATCATCACATCTCCTCTATCTACGATTTCTCGTATGATATGATAGCGTCGTACAATGTGTTTGGTTTTCTGGTGAGATCGCGGTTCCTTTGCCTATGCAATGGCCCAGTGTTGTCGCAAAACAACCAGATAGGGTCATTAATACTAGGAACCACTCCAAGTTCAGTAATGAACTTTTTGATCCAAACAGCTTCTTTTGCTGCCTCGGCAGCAGCTATGTACTCAGCCTCTATAGTCGAATCGGCGGTTGTATCCTCCTTAAAGCTCTTCCAACTAAAAGCTCCGCAATTCAGGCAAAACAAATATCCTGCTTGTGATTTTGAATCGTCTATGTTGGTTTGGAAGCTAGCATCAGTGTAACCGACCACCTTTAGCTCTTCCTCACCACCGTATACCAGGAATGCATCCTTAGTATTGCGAAGATACTTGAGGATGTTCTTGACCGCTGTCCAGTGTGCTTCTCCTGGACTTCCCTGGTATCTGCTGGTCACGCTTAAAGCGAATGAGACATCAGGTCTAGTACATATCATGGCGTACATGATGGATCCAATTGCAGAAGCATATCAGGTGNAAGTGAGAGCGGGAATATCGTTACCCATTAACAATATGTCATCGACATATAATATTAGGAATACTATTACACTCCCACTGACCTTCTTGTATACACAAGATTCATCAGAGTTCTTCTCGAAACCAAAACTGGAAATGGTTTCATCGAAACGTATGTACCAACTCCGAGATGCTTGTTTCAATCCGTAGATTGAACGTTGTAGTTTACAAACTTTGGTAGACTGACCAGCAATTTGAAAACCGTCAGGCTGTGTCATGAAGACATCCTCTTTGAGGTTCCCATTAAGGAAAGCCGTCTTGACGTCCATCTGCCAAATTTCATAATCGTAATAGGCTGCAATCGCAAGCATTATCCAAATGGATTTCAGCATAACAACTGGAGAAAAGGTTTCATCATTGTCAATTCCGTGGATTTGTCTATAACCTTTTACTACCAATCTAGCTTTGAAGGTATGAACCTTCCCGTCTACGTCTGTCTTCTCTTTGAAGACCCACTTGCATCCAATGGGTTTTACCCCTTCAGGCGCATCAACCAAGGTCCAGACTTGGTTTGTGTACATAGACTCCATTTCAGATTTCATGGCTTCGAGTCATAGATCGGATTCGGGGCATGTAATTGCCTCGAGGTAGGTCTCTGGTTCGCCTTGATCTACTAACAAGACGTCACCTTCATCAGACATGAGAAATCCATATCTGACCGGAGGATTACGTATCCGGTCTGACCTACGTGGTATATCTTGAGCAGTTTGAGGTTCAATTGCTTGATCTCTTTGCTCAGGTTCCAACACTATCGGGATTTCCTCTTGTGGTTCTCGAATTTCTTCGAGGTCTACCTTTCTCCCACTAGTGATAGCAGAAAGAAACTCCTTCTCAAGGAAGGTTCCGTTCCGAGCAACGAAAATTTTGTTATCGGATGGATGATAGAACTCATACCCTCTAGTTTCCTTGGGGTATCCCACAAAAATTACTTTATCAGATTTAGGCTCCAACTAACTAGACGTCATGAGACGTTTTACATAAGCTTCACAGCCCCAAATCTTAAAGTACGAGAAACTCAGTTTTCTCCCACCCCATAGTTCGTATGGTGTGCTCTCGACAGCTTTAGATGGAACTCTGTTGAGTGTGTGCGCTGCTGTTTTCAATGCATATCCCCAAAATGATTCTGGCAATGTTGTCAGACTAATCATGCTCCGGACCATGTCTAGCAAAGTCCGATTTCTCCTCTCAGACAATCCATTTAACAGAGGTTTCCCCGGAGGAGTGAGTTGGGATAAGATCCCATGCTCTTTCAGATAGCCATCGAACTCCAGGCTTAGGTATTCACCTCCTCGATCCGAGCGGAGGGTCTTAATACTTTTGCCTAATTGTTTTTCTACTTCGTTCTTGAATTCTTTGAATTTGTCAAAGCATTCCGATTTGTGTTTCATGAGATACACATATCCATATCTACTAAGGTCGTCAGTAAATGTAACGAAGTAAGAATAACCACCTCTAGCTACAGAGCTAATTAGACCACACACATCGGAGTGTATGAGGCCCAATAAGTCACTCGCCCTTTCACCGTGACCGGTGAATGGAGCCTTTGTCATTTTACCAAGTAAACAAGATTTACATACATCATATGACTGGAAGTCAAATGAATCAAGTACACCTAAGCGATGTAACTTAGATATGCGTTTCTCGTTAATGTGGCCCATACGACAATGCCATAGGTACGCAAGATTCAAATTGTTAGGTTTGTTTCTCTTAACATTTACGTTATATAATGCGGTATCCATGTCAAGGAAATAGAGACAGTTGGTCATTTTTGCACTTGCATAAAATATATCATTTCTAAAGACAGAAAGAATTTTGTCTTTTACAACGAATGAAAATCCTGCTTTGTCAAGGCAGGATACAGAAATGATGTTTCTGCTCATACTAGGTACAAACAGACAATTATTCAAATGCAATATTAGACCACTAGGTAGAGATAAACTATAGGTTCCGACGGCCAATGCATAGACGAGTGCACCATTGCCAACTTTTAGTTGTATCTCTCCCTCCGTCAATTGTCTACATTCATGCAAGTTCTGCATAGAAGTACAGATGTGAGAACCACATCCAGTATCCATCACCCAAGAGGTGATATCAGACATATTGACTTCGATAACGTAAATTCCTGAGTTTTGGGGCTGACCCTGGTAAAGGTCTCTTAAGCATTGTATCATAGGACGCACTTCCATGTCCGCGTGGAGCCTTTGGAGCTCCGCGGTCAT